GTCGCTCCTCTTCCCTCCTGCACCTACCCTCTTATAACCACACTCTGACATTACATTCTTAGATTCACACTATACCTCCTGAGTTTCTTCATCACTTTCTCTCATTCTAACTTGCTTTTTCATATATTTTTTAATATCCCTTTAAATTTATTCACTTTCACTTCTTTTTCAATTAACCACTGTCAATATATGCCTTAAATTCCACCTTTATCTTATTATTATTATTATTATTATTATTATTATTATTATTATTATTATTATTATTATTATTATTCTGGTTATCAGCAAACAATGATCTTACATATCTATCGTCTTTCGAAAACCATACACGTTTACAACCAAAATTCAACACAATTCAAAACTCGTCTAAATAGCCACTAAAAATCATGTTCATGCAGCCAACTCCTCCTCGTCCCCCATACTTGATTTAGGATTCCGTCAGGCTCTTATGAAAGCAATCAGGGATTTTTTTTTTGTTTCATGTCACGTTAAAGTCTCTACATCACTGTGTTCATTAGCGATTTAGAATTTAAAGTATATGCTGATTTTATGTATGTGCGAATGTGTGTGTGTGTGTGTGTGTGTGTGTGTGTGTGTGTGTGTGTGTGTGTGTGTGTGTGTGTGTGTGTGTGTGTGTGTGTGTGTGTGTGGAAACGTTATATTTCGTTCATGTAGACCTTTTTTTTTTAATTGGGACTCCCCGGTTATATGAGCGACTTGTGAATATTGTTTCGCTCGTATAATCTGCTTTAAAAGCTTCGTACCGACTATGCTCTGAAGAAGTCTGTCGCGTTTAAAGAAGTGATAATTTTAGGAATCCTGACTAGCAGTCTATAATTAGAATTTTTCTGTTTTCGAGATCATGTTAATTTAGTAAGAGAAGACGAGAACAGAGGAATGAATGGCTTCTGTTGTCCCTTTGTCTAGATACAATTATAATGTTACCTTTCAGTTTCATGTTGAAAATGCTCTCTGCTTTAAACGGTAGCTGCACCCTGTTGTAAACAGTTGGGGTAACTTGTAAACAGTAGCTGCACCCTGTTATAAACAGTTGGGGTACCTTGTAAACAGTAGCTGCACCCTGTTGTAAGCAGTTGGGGTAACTTGTAAACAGTAGCTGCACCCTGTTGTAAACAGCTGTGGTATATTGTAAACAATGGTAGAATTACCGACAATATGTTAAGTAAAAGGTCACAAATGTAACTAATGTGACATTTTATTGTGGCAACGTTTCGCTCTCCAGGAGCTTTGTCAAGCCGTTACAAACAATACACGAACACAGAGGGTATATATAGGCTCAGAGTGAGGTATAATACTAGTAATAATATTATTGTATTTGTACTACTAGTACAACTAATATTATTATTACTACTACCAATAGTATTACACCTCTGAGCCTATATATACCCTCTGTGTTCGTGTATTGTTTGTAACGGCTTGATAAAGTTCCTGGAGAGCGAAACGTTGCCACAAGCCACAATAAAATGTCACATTAGTTGCACTTGTGTCCTTTTACTTAACATAATATACTGTAAACAGTTGCGGCACCCTGTTGTAAACAGTTGTGGTACCTTGCTGTAAACACTTGTGTCACATAATGTATTTGCAAACATAGTGTTGTGGTCCATAATTAGTAGTATTTAGAGTGGACGAAACATTTTACGATTGAAAAAAATAAACATTGAAACGATTGAAAATGTCATAATGGTGAAAAAATGTAACGACGCGAAAAAAATATAAATTGTGGTTAAAAAAGGTCATAACGAATAAAAATGTCATAAATGGCGGGGGAAAAAAGGTTATAACTGGAAAAAAGTCATAAATGGTGGAAAAAAGCCAGTGAGACTATTTACTACTTGCTAAACGAGTACTTCCCCACATTTTTAATATGCTAATTAATCTAGCTGCAGTTTATCAAAGTCATGTGTTACCTCTGTGAACCTTTTATGCTGGCACTCACAGGATGAGCTGCGGGCACACAATTAACTATTTTTGGAGAATAAAAAAAAGGCCCTTTGCCATGGCTGGAATTCACAAAAAAAAAAAACGCGCACTTAAGAGAGGCACATTATGACGACGTTTAGCTCCGTCTTGGACCACTGTAATGTCACTACTACTATTGTGATCTGACAATAGTACAAGAACGACCGAAAGTTTTTGGTGAATTAGCTATCGTTCACAGGATGAGCTGGAGGTACACGATAAGCCAGCAGCTCAGGCAGCAAAACTAATGGTATAACATACGATTAAGCCAGTCAAGGAGGCTTATTTGGGTTATCCTTGCTTACTAGCCCTTTACGTTAAACCCAACAAAATCATATATTATTATTATTATTATTATTATTATTATTATTGTTATATAAGTCAAAGTACTAAGACGTAAGAGCAATTGAATGCCTTGATATGGGGCGTAAACAGGTTTGATCCGAAAAAAGGGAGGTTGGTTTAAATACTTCAGACTGAAACAATCGCAAACAAGCTATCAATAATGCAAAGCAACCAACCAAAGGGGGGAAGAAGGATGTTGCTCTAGGCCTTTCACTTTGCAATTCCAATGCTTCTTCAAGACTGAGCACTGCAATGAGACAAATGAAATGCAGAAGAGGCCTCGCTAAACTAGATAACAGTCCAAGTCGGACAGAAACCTCGTCATAATTTTCAGTCTGCTATTTACAGATTATCTGTGTATCGTAATATTTACCTTTCTGTGCACAGAACGAGAGTACATTTGCTTAAGTATTATCGTGGGTAGATTAGCATAATAGGGTTAAGTCCTATTCCCTCACTACACGAGGGTCATTAAGAATGCATGTAACGTGTACACCACTTAGGATACTCCAATTCCTAACATGCGGGTTATATATACTGAGATGTACCGCATACCCTTCCAAGAGTATATACACTGATCCTCTCAGTGCATACACATCAAAGATATATTCTCTTCAGAATGTATACATAGTGAATACTAACAATATGTGAGTGAACTGTTGGTATCAAAGTCTTATTAAGAAATTGTCAGCCTTACACCGTGTACCATTGCTGAGTATCAGTGATCAATCAACCACTGGTGTACCATTGCTGAGTATTAGTGATCAATCAACCACTGGTGTACCATTGCTGAGTATCAGTGATCAATCAACCACTGGTGTACCATTGCTGAGTATCAGTGATCAATCAACCACTGGTGTACCATTGCTGAGTATCAGTGATCAATCAACCACTGGTGTACCATTGCTGAGTATTAGTGATCAATCAACCACTGGTGTACCATTGCTGAGTATTAGTGATCAATCGACCGCTGGTGTACCAGGGCTTAGTATGAGCGATCAATCAACCACTGGAGTACCAGTGCTGGGTATCAGTGAACAAACAATCATTAGTGTACCAGTGCTAGGCAGTTATTAATCTACAACAGGCCTACCGTTGCTGGATATCATCATTAATCCATCACTGGCATACCAGTGCTGTTTCCAACATGTTACTACAACAAGGGTTTATACTTCAATATTATATGCTACATGGCAGTTGACTGAATAACAGTGAATGTGTTTCCTCTTTCTTTGGTCACCCTGCCTCTGTGGGAGACGGCCGGTGTGTTACAGACAAAAAAAAAAAAAACAGCAGATATTAACAAGGTGCCAGTCTGGCGCTCATTACCTTAAATCAATCAATACTGAATATCCTCTATGTTAATGCAAAGTAAATTCAGTTTGTGCAACAGACTCTTGATTGCAATTATACACATTAAGCAAAATATATAAGTGCAGTAACTTGTTAATGAATACTTATGCTTCTTTTTTTACGCGTTATCGAATTAATAATTATCTGTTGTTGAAAGATGAACCTATCTGCAGTGCTAGATACTCGACAGATATTTGAAAGTCAGTGTCTATGTCATTTCTAAAAGAAATGAAAGACCTGTTGGGAGAATGCAAAAATAATAATCTTAGTTCTGATTAATGGTAGTAGGCTACACGACAGTTATCAAGGTCACGATTCACAGACACTAACATAAATGATATCGGAATCCCTGAGGAAGGGATTAAAGTGAAATGTTATAGCATATGCAGTGAGAGATGCGCACTTGTTAGTGTATATACACTGTTTAAATGAGTATATATACCGAGAGGTATATATACTCAAAAGAGATGTGCGCTGCCTAATGATTACATTAGTTTTAAGGCATATTTAGTTTTCAGTGGTTAAATAATATTGCTGTTAGATATGGAATGTTTGATACCGGTCTACTGTTTGGTACAATAGCTCCAGTACTGAATAACTGCTTCGAAATTTTGCCTTCGTGCTAGTAAGGTCAACACAAACACACGCACGCACACACACGCACACGCACGCACACACACGAAGAAAAACTTTTTCGTGGACAATGTTCCTAGAAACACTTAACAGTGTGGCAGCATCCACACTGCCTCTTCCACTGCTGCCAGCTGGTTCACGAGCTGACAGCGTGATGTCGCCTTTTGGAGTGAAACATCGTGCCCGTTTTTCTACTATTATGACGTGTCAACTATCTGGGCTGACATGTACTGTCTCTATGGCGGTACCTTCACTCACAGGACGAATGGCACTGCCGTATAAATTCGCTCCTCTCTGGAAAACTAATCTTAAAAACTCTACTGATAGGTGAGACTCCAGACGCATACGACACATTTTTGCTATTGACCTGAACTCTGCCTCCAGTTACCGTGAAAAATACAAGGTTCTCACTATGTTAACTTTTATTATGCATGTTCTGTATGCATAGTTCTATACCAAATAAATCATCACTGAACAAGCCAGGCACCACGGGGCTCTATATATGCGAGTTTTCAGTCTCGCAAATGGACGCACGATATATCTCAAAAAAAGGTACTTTTTCTTGCAACACTGACAAAGTTACGAAGTCTAGTAGGAAATATAGTGAGTCTGAGGAGAGTATTGTGAGAATGTCATGAAGCAACCGTGTTGTAGGTGACCGAGGGGGCGTGTGGCGCCTGCCTCACCTGGGATCGGCGATCAGGGGCCAGCAGCGGGCTATGCAGGCGCCCATTGTGCTTCCTGCGGGCGTGGGCGTGACGACCGCGTCTCAGAGCCTATAGGGGTCCACATAGGCCTCCAGGTGTGCTAAGGAAGAGGTCATGGAGGGAGAAATACGGTGGAGCGCGGCGGTGTCCGCCATGCCGGGCCAGCTCGGCTGCTCCACCAACACGTAATCAATAGTGGTGTCCGAGTCAGCCCACACTGGCGGCCGCTGACGGGCTACTGACTCATCGCAGCGGCTAGTCACGGCATCGGGGGCTCGACAGCAGTGGTCAGCAGGCTGCACGCTGCTCACCACCTGCCTGATCCCCCAAGATCTTCCCGCTAGTCACTACAATCTACACTCTGCTACTGTAGCAAATATACTCTCCAGTTTCGCACGCCAGGCTTATCAGCTGATATCAGTATAACAGCAACACGTGGTAGGTAGAGAGCTCCTACAAGGCAGCCACGCGCTCACACACTTAAGATACTTTAAAGTAACATCTCCAGCGTGTCCGCCACCAAGTGCGCATCTGTGGTCCTCATTCATAAGTTACCTCGCTGGGTAACGAGTCAGTCATGCGTTCTCTTCTGGACACAGAAGGCGAGTCCTGAGGTATATTTAATAGACGGAGAAATGATAAACATTATAAAACTTACGTGAAATCAACGGAATCATCAGCATTATATATATATATATATATATATATATATATTATATATATATATATATATATTATATATATATATATATATATATATATATATATATATATATATATATATATATATATTATATATAGGGAGGTACCATCTCTAGAACTGTTATAGGGACCCTCATCCTCAGAGAAAAGAATAAACTTGCTTCAGGGAAACTCAAGGTTCTCCCTGAAGCTGTTTGAGAATTTTCTCCTACCACCCCTATATTTTATATATATATTTTATTTAAAGACAAAATACATTGACAAAACATTCACAAAAATACGATAGAAAGTAAAACAACATAGGTAACTCAGAGCTACATCTCGAATACTTCGTCCAGCTCCCTGGCGGTGGGCTGCGTGCCCAGAAAGCTGCAGGCATTTCCTCTCTGGATCGCAACACTGAGTCTCTGAAAGAGGAAGCTGGTCGCCCTGTGGCCCTTGGTTTCTATGATGAGCTTTTCACCCAGCTCTTTGAGGAACTTTAGAGCACACTTGCCCCATGCTCCAAGGGTCTCCGACCCTATTGGGATGAAATTATAGCAAGGGGGAAGGTCTTCATATTTGCGGATCTTCTGGGTCTCCCTGTGGCTGGCAGCTCCACCCCCTTCCACTACGGAGTATGGCAAGTTGGTGTCTGCCAATGTGGCGGCACATGTGTAGTCCCAGGCAATCTGCTTTCCATCCTTCCAAGGTAGCATAGTGGCTCCATCAGGACGCTTTAGACTTCCGTCAGACCTCTGCACTTGGGGTTCCCGTTGAGCTGGGCAACGGGCTGTGGCGAGGCTTCTCTTTATGATGTCATTGACCTCCTCATGCCTGGCATACTTCCCTTCTGCTGTGTGACACACGAGACCATGAAGTCCGAATTGATCAGCTGTCGCCCTGTGGTCCTTGGTTTCTATGATGAGCTTTTCACCCAGCTCTTTGAGGAACTTTAGAGCACACTTGCCCCATGCTCCAAGGGTCTCCGACCCTATTGGGATGAAATTATAGCAAGGGGGAAGGTCTTCATATTTGCGGATCTTCTGGGTCTCCCTGTGGCTGGCAGCTCCACCCCCTTCCACTACGGAGTATGGCAAGTTGGTATCTGCCAATGTGGCGGCACATGTGTAGTCCCAGGCAATCTGCTTTCCATCCTTCCAAGGTAGCATAGTGGCTCCATCAGGACGCTTTAGACTTCCGTCAGACCTCTGCACTTGGGGTTCCCGTTGAGCTGGGCAACGGGCTGTGGCGAGGCTTCTCTTTATGATGTCATTGACCTCCTCATGCCTGGCATACTTCCCTTCTGCTGTGTGACACACGAGACCATGAAGTCCGAATTGATCAGCTGTCGCCCTGCCGCAAATACACCTATGTTCGGTGAGGATGGGGGCGGCTAGGCGAAGAGCAACACCAATCTGAATGGCCTGTGGGTCTAGTCGAGTGCCCAAGGAGGAATTGGGAACAGCTAACAGGAAATCTCCTGAGTGTGGTGCCTTCACTGCCAGGAGACGAGCTTTGTCCTTTCCTGAGGCGTTGGAGAGCATTGTGTTGGCGATTTTTTCCATGATCGGTTTGTCCCAGTGGGACTGTTTGTGTTCTTTGGGAGGAGCTGGTCTACTGGAGGAATCTGTAAGGGTGTCCCACCGAATCGCTGCTTCAGTAAACCTGGGGTCTTGAGCTCCTACCACGTCTCTCAAGCGTTCGGGAACAATCTTCTTGACTAATGCACTGGAAGCCAAACACAAAGACAGAAAAGCAGGTAAAGCAACATGCGTTGCTTTGCGCACCCCTATACCTCCCAGTCGTACTGGGAGGGTTGCCTGATCCCATTGCTGATCCTCTAGTGACAGGTTCAGTGCCTTCTTAAGGGTTGACCTCAGGTGTGCGTCATATTCGTCGAGTGTTGGGTTGTCAAAAGAGGGTGCACACCTCAGGAAGTAAGTGAGTCTTGGAATAGTAAGGCACCTTGTGAGGAGATACAGAGCATCATGGGCATCAAGATTGCTTATTCTCTCCTCCATTCTCATCAGGTCATTCAATTTGTCCTTGAGGACTGTGTCGATGGCCTGGTGACCCAGCGGTGCTCCCAAGAGGGTACTGTTGGACGGAGTGGTAGTAGAGACTTCTGGGAGGATTCTTCGCACAGCATTGATTATTTCCTGGTTTGCTGTGATGATTTCACATTTGGAGGGATTGAGGATGAGTCCCAAGTCTTCTCCCTGTGTTTTCACCAGTTGTAGGTCCCCTACCAGGGACTCTTCAGTACATTCCAAAGTGCCATCATCCAGGTACCAGATGTTGAGCTCGCTGCGTAGGCTGGAAGTTAGTTCTCTTCCTGCTAAGCAGAAGAGAAGTGGAGCTAGTGGGTCACCCTGCTGAACACCTTCTGATGAGAGAATTTCATGTTCTCCAAACAAAAGAATTGAGGGTTTGCTGTAGCCGGCTGAAATGAAGGGAAAAAGACTGGGGAAGCGATCCCGAAAAGCTGGCAAGACAGCATCTCTCTTTACCATATTAAAGGCATTTCTAAAATCAAGTTTGACTACGGCCTTGTCTTCTGGTAGGTCCCTGATGTAGGCCCTTGATTGTAGGCCCTGATTGTAGGCCATATATACATATATATATACATATATATATATATATATATATATAATATATATATATATATTATATATATATATATATATATGTCGTGCCGAATATGTAAAACTGGTCAATTAGCAAGAACTCATTTAAAATTAAGTCCTTTCTGAAAATTTCTCTTATACGTTTAAAGTTACAGTGGAACCTCAAATATCGAACTTTCTTTGGTCCAGAAGGCTGTTTGAGTGCCTTTACCGAATGAATTTATTCCCATGAGGAATAATGTAAATTAGGTTAGTCCATTTCAGACCCTCAAAAATACACTTACAAAAGCACTTACAAAAATACACTTACATAATTGGTTGTGTTGGGAGCAGTTCGACTTTTGGGGTTCCACTGTATATTTTTTTCATTAATGTTAATGTAAAAAAATTTAATTTTGCACCAAAAGCATCTTAGAAAACTTACCTAACCTTATTATAACAAGAACAATTTATTTTAGCCTAACCCAACTAAGTATATTGTAAACAAATCTAAAATATATTTAGTTGGGTTAGGCTAAAATAAATTGCGCTTGTTATAATAAGGTTAGGTAAGTTTTCTAAGTTCCTTCTGGTGCAAAATTAAATATTTTTACATCAACATTAATGAAAAAAATATATCTTTAAACGTATAAGAGAAAATTTTAGAAAGGACTTAATTTTAAATGAGTTCTTGCTAATTGACCAGTTTTACATATTCGGCACGACATATATATATATATATATATATATATATATATATATATATATATATATATATATATATATATATATATATATATATATATATATATATATATATATATATATATATTGCAAACAAGCAATCAACAATGCACAGCATCGATTAGAATATTCTGCAATTGTAAGCACTTCTTCAGAATCAATGCAATGAAAAGAATGGAATTCAAGAGAGCACAAGCAGGTGTCCTAAGGCAGTATAGCGAGGATAGACCAAAGCCAGCAGCTAGAGACCCCAGCCAGCTGTGTTTTAAGTGCCAGATGTCAAGGGAAGCGTTTTAAGAATTAAATGATAGCTAAGCTCATAAACTCATACATAAGCCTCAGTAATACATAACCTGCCAGTAATCATCAAATGTCCCGTTGATGTGTTCACACATTCAGAACACATGCTAAACAAACATTTTTCCAAATTTTTTCATGTCCTGGTTAATCCAGCTTAAAATTCGTTAAACTGAAAAGGGAAGTGCTGCCTAACATAACATTTAGGAGGCCTCGGATTTGCTTTTGATTGGTCAGTTAATTTTTTTGAATGTTTGTCAATTTTTTGAAGAAACATTAAATAAAGGTTCGACTTTCTCTTTCAGATTGTTGGAATTGAGACCACTGTTAATTATAACTAATTTCATCTTCCTTTGTTGTATGTTACATATCGTCAATATTTTCACATCAGTGATATTAATTTTATAGGTCTGTGTACTGGGCCGAAATACCATGTTATTAATATTACTAGTATTTACCGAGTATCTGTCATGATAAATTCGTATTTTAAACTCACTTGTTTCCCAGTATAACACTTTGGAATTCTATACAAACCAGTATTTATATGGTCAGCTTCTGAAAATCTTATTTTCCCAGGTGTCTTAATGGTATTCGATCTTTTGAAAGCTTTGCTCACTTTTGCAGACTAATTGTCGTCCCAGTGAGGAAGTAAAATGTAAATTTTAAATTTCAAATTTTTATTCTCTTCATCCCCCCAAAATTTACCTCTTTTCAAAAAAGGAGCGATTTTTTAAATTATTAGTATAAACATAGCTTAGAAAATGTACTATAAATATACTCATCCTACTGTACCATGAACAACGAATCGTATATTCGATATATTGTAGCAGAGTGACACTGATATCTTATCATTAAACTCTGAGAAACAACCAGTACTTGGGGTCACAAACATATGTTAAATTTATTATGCATGTAATAGATTTTAATCGTATTAAATGATTATTTTCGTATATTATAGAAAAGATTTCTAAAAAAAAGTTGGAATTTTATATACTTTACCTGACTTATTTTCTACTGTAACTGAGTTACTGGA